GAGATTACAGCAGTTGTTGGAGGATAAAGAAAAGAAACAAGAAGAGAGATTACAGCAGTTGTTGGAGGAAAAAGAAAGGAAACAAGAAGAACGAGAAAAGAAACAAGAAGAGAGATTACAGCAGTTGTTGGAGGAAAAAGAAAGGAAACAAGAAGAACGAGAAAAGAAACAAGAAGAGAGGCGACAGCAGTGGTTGGAGGAGAAAGAAAATAAACAAGAAGAGAGACTACAGCAGTGGCAACTGGAACAAGAAAGGAAGTCTCCAACAGTTGCGGAAAAGTCAGCAGTAAGTACAGGAAAGTCAACAACAGTGGCAAGAAGTACAAATGGAAAACATTAGTAAATTTCAAAGTGAATTAAATACATTAAAGGATGATTTACTGTCTTTTACACAAGGAGGATATATTAGCCATGGACCTAATCAGCCTCAGACAACGGGAAGCCCCTTCTAGACCCCGCAGCTAAATCCCAATGCAGACATCCTCAGTCCTGCCAGAAGTCACATTCCAGACATGAGTGTCAGCAATAAGGGTGATCTAATACGAAGGAAGCCACAGGAATTCGATGGGAAGGCACTGTGGGAAGCATATAGAGCACAATTTGAGTTTCTGGTAGAAATGAATGTATGGACAGAGGAGCAGAAAGCAGTGTACCTGGCAACGAGCCTGAAGGGACAACCACTTGAAATACTTGGACAGTTGTCAGCAGACGATAGGCACAACTCTATAGCACTGGTAGCTGCTCTAGAAATCAGGTATGGAACTCGAAATCAGTCCAAAGTCTACAGGGCTAGGTTTAGAACTAGAGTCCTGCTAAAGGGGCGAGCCTGCAAGATCTGGCACAGGATTTGGAAAGTATGGCACACAAGGCCTGCCCAACTGCACCACCCGATCTCCTCAAGTTGTTGCTGAGGGATCAGTTCATAGATGCCTTGGACAGTCCACAACTGAAGATACAAGTAAAGCAAGCACACCCCTCTAGTATGCAGGATGCAATGGCCAGAGCTCTTGAATTCGAATCATATGTTAAGTACAGCACAGAGATACCAAGGTTGGTACAGTCATCAGGATTCAAGGCCAGAAAAGGTCAGCTTTCAGAGAAGTTTGATGGACTTTGCTGGTACTGTAACAAACCTGGCCACAAGAGAGCTCAATGCTGGCAACTTCAACTCAGGGAAGATGCCACAGAAGATAAGATTGCTACCCAGAAAGGTTGTTGGAACTGTGGAGAGCAAGGACATATGAGGAGCCAGTGTAAGAAGTATAATACCAATAAGTCAGCCTCTGGGGAACCAGTAGTGGTTGGTGCTGAAGAACGCCCACCAACCCCCATTGTGAAAGTCCCAACAGCTAAGTGTAAAATGGCTAGTACACAGTGTCTATGTGACAGGGAAGCTGGATGGCCAAAAGTGCAACTTTGTCATAGATTCTGCATCTCAACAAACCCTTGTGAGTATCCAGGTGCTAGATCACAAAGGAGTACCAGAAGCCATACAGAAGCTCTATAGTGTGACAGGACATTATGCAAGGTTGTAGGGACCAGTGTGGGTAACTATTGAGCTCATGGGCATAAAAGACAGACACAAAGTATACTTGGCTGACATTGAAGACCAATGAATATTAGGGTTTGGACTACTTACTACCGAGGAAGTGTGTAGTTAACTTCGATAAAATGACGATTGGGAACAATAAAGGCCAAATTCCAGTAAGTGTTGCTGCATCTGTTGATTTGCATGTCACAGCACTTAAGTCAACTACAATACCCCCTATGTCAGAGAAGATAATTTGGGGTAGAATAAAAGAACATCTCCAAAAAGCCCAATGCTTGTGGAAGCAGTGGAAAACCCATCCAGGCCAGTGGATGTGAAGATTGGAAGGTCACTTGTGGCAGGTCATCAAGTAGTACCCATAACAGTGGCCACTTTCTCTAAATGTGAGCAGACACTTAAGGAAGGGTCATTGTTGGGGGTGTGCCAGGAGGCAGAGCTAGTCAATGTTGAGGCAATAGATACAACCATAAAGAAAGGACATTTTCTCCCAGAACATTTAACTGACCTCTATAAGAAGAGCATAGCCCATTTGTCATCATTACAGGCTCTTCAGGTGAGGGAACTTTTGGTGAATTATGTAGACGTCTTTTCGAAAGGAGATCATGACCTCGGCTGCACAAACCTTGTAG